TGTCCTGTTACTTCTTCTTATTAAAGAACTCTATATCCTGTTACTTCATCTTATTAAAGAACTCTTTGTCCTGTTACTTCATCATTCTATTATATATTAAACATATATATATTATTAAATATTGTACTTTTTACTGTACAGATTCAGATAATTAATCCACTAATAAATGATGATGTATTATTAAAAATTAAACTACCAGTAGTATATAAAGTAATCATTAATAAAACATATACTACTCTGCATCATGAGTACTTTTACTTTTGGTACTTTAGGTATGTTGATAATAATACTTTTGTTCTTTTACTAAAGAATTACGGATTTTTACATGTATTTCTACACTGTGGTATTAGTACTTTTACTGAAGAAGAAGATCAGAGTACTTCTTCAGACAGACAGACCTTCAGGTGAGAGCACAGGTGCATTGTGGGCCTACCTCATCTCTGAGCAGCGTAGGATTCTGGTCAGAGAGACGTAGTTTCCTTCAGTGGTGCCTTTACCCACTGTGGGGACTGAAGACCTGCAGGCTACGTACAGAGAGCAGGACAACCAGTGGAGGACGCTGCCCTGGAGACATGATGGGGGGGGACGACAGACAGGCTACTATCAAACACCTTCTCTTTCATTAATACTCATAATAATACTAATTATTTCCTCGAGTTAGGGTTAGGGTTAAAAGTTTTGTCTTTAAATGTCAGAAAACGTGAGAAACTGGCTGTGACATCACAGTTATCGTTTTGTCCGACTCACCGTCCAGAAATACAAACATTTCATCATCACGTGTGACAAAGAAAAGACTCAAGTCCTCACATGTCCTCTGTTTTAGAGAAAGAAGTAGTTTGACTGAGACAGACAGACAGACAGACTAATGTCTCCTAGTGTCTCCTTGTGTCTCACCTCTAAGGTATAGTTCCTGCTCATGTCCTCGTAGCTCCTCCACGCCTCTCTACTCGCCTCCTAATGTCTCCTAACGTCTCCGATAATGTCTCCTAGTGTCTCACCTCTAAGGTATAGTTCCTGCTCATGTCCTCGTAGCTCCTCCACGCCTCTCTACTCGCCTCCTCGTCCATATTTAAAGCTCGACATAGGTCTTCAAACCCGGTTCGAGCTTTCTGCAGAAACTCGTCCTCGTCGCTCATTTTCGTTTCGTTTCACAACAAATAAAACGGTCAAAATGTTAGTTTGGTATAAACCGAGCGACACTAGCGGTAAACACAGCCGCTGTTTAACCGAATCTCTCCGTAGCAGCGTTATTACCGGTTATTACCGAGTCGTACCGAGCGGCCATTTAAAGGTCCTCTCACTGACAGCTACGGCGTCGCGTGGCCGCTAAGAACGTATGTATGGTCACGAGCCACAACGTCCGACGTGATTCGGTGCGTAACTGTACGTAGAGAATAGGCTCGTTCGAGTTGAACTGCGCCTCGCCTGGAAAGCAGACGAGAGCAGGCGGACGTGGAAAGGGGCGTTGACAAAGAACTGCGTTCAAGTCGGACCGTTTTCAGCCGCCTGCTTCTGCTTCTTCTTCTTCTTCTTCTTCTCCTCCTTCTTCTTCTTCTTCTTCTTCTTCTTCTTCTTTTGCTTTTTTTGGCGGTTGGCAAACAGCTTTCGGGTGCATTACCGCCTCCCACTGATCTGGAGTGGACTAAGGACTCTAATACCACAACCACACGAAAAGAAATACATATACATATATACACACACATACATACACATATGTGTGTAAATGAATAAAGATATGTATATAAATAAATATATATATACATATAGAAAAAATAAAATAACAAAACAGAAAAAATTAATAGTAATACATTTCTTTCTCAAATTCTATTCGTTAGTGTTGTTGACTCTAAATATTCCAGAAAAAGTTTCCAACATTTGTCACTAAAGCTTTCCTCTCCAATCTCTCTTAGACCTTTTTTCAAAACATCTCTCGCTGACTCGTACCTCTGACAGGACAATAAAACATGGTCCACGGTTTCTTCTTCTCCACAACATGTACACTTCCCATTATTATGCTTTCTAATAACATCGAGGGAACTGTTCAGACCAGTATGGCCGTTCCTTAGTCTCGTCATAATCGTCTCCTCTTTTCTAGTTCGTCCACTAGATCCTGCTCCCAACCAATGGTTCCTCTTTAAACAGATATCTTCCTTTACTCCCTTTACATCTTTACTTTTTAATTTGTCCCTTAATCACCACTTTAGCTTCTGACTTACTTATATTTACATTAACATTATTTCTCCCTCTCTTCAAAGACCTTTTTGCAGCTTTATCCGCCTTCTCATCCATCGACTCCAACATGGACCCACACTAAATGAACCGCTATCTGCATTTGATGGATTCTTAAAAATGATTGTAGTATTTCAAACAGTAAATCCTCTCTGCTTCTGGAGTGGCAACATGTCAAACTCGTTAGCACTGCACATGAGTCTGATGCAATCACCTCTCTCTCTGGCCTGACGTCCTCCACCCACTGTAACGCAATAACTCTATGGCCATCATCTCACATGCAAACACAGATGCA